GTAGAAGAACTGTTTTTAGATGGTAGGTTTTTAATAGATTATTGTGTATATAAGTTTATTTCTAACTTGAATTAGATACTCTTACATGAACAGCAGCAGGTATTTATACGAAATTTTGAATACAGGATTAGATATTCCAAATAAGTAACAGTATATATGGGAAGATGTTTATAATTACATCAAACAGGAAAGACAACAAGAAAAGAAACCAAGAAAAGACATCATAGAAAATATCTGATAAACGAAAGTATAGTGACAACTACAATAATTAATATTAATTTAAACAAAGAAAATGCATATAGATGAATAATTATTTTACAACAATTTGAAATTATGATACGTCTTATATACTTGCTATAATACTATACACATAGCAAAGTATCTATTTATACACGTTCAAAATGTGAAAGAAGAACATTCTCGCTGTGTCTTTCTGTCAAGTTCATCTAGACGTTTCAGCTCAGCATCCTGAGTGGGAGAAGGTCGAACTTGTAGAACCTTCATGTCGAAAAGCCAAACAATAGCTATGTCTTCCGCTCTCTTCACTCTACTGAGTGGCACATAAATTAATGCCACTTGCAATGTTCCAATTGGAACTTGAAGATCGACCACGATTGTATTCATTGTGAGTCCTTGCGCCTTATAAGGAGTTATTGCGAAGGCAGGTACGATTGGCAGTTGTGTTCTTGTAACTTGAATCACTTGTGGAATTTTTCTTCCACCTTGCACTCGTTCGAACAGATGTCCGAAGAGTTGCTTAATGGGAACACTAAATCTATTTTTAATAAATGGAATAGGAATTAGTTTAGGACGAAGACCATCGAGATCTGTTTCTACTTGTGATGTATTAATTTCCACGAGCGCATATAATGGTTTTCGTATGTATATCGTGTTTAATGGAAATACATCGCTTTGTAGCTTGAAAGCATCTGTCTCCTCCTGATCATCGTATATGAGCTCTCGAAAAATACCCTCAGTGCCGTTTGAGAGTCCTAGTTCACAGGCGATGTTATCGGTGAGAAGTTCAGGCATGTTTGGTACGAATGGTAAGAGACCGGGGAGAAGCTCGGTCTTGTTATCCGATAGATGGATTTCACTTTAAATTTCTCTTCATGAGGACAATTACCAATTATTCCATCCTAAACACCAAACTGTCTATTTTTGAACAAGATGCCTCTTCACACATTGGATTATTTTTTTGTCTTGCAAAAAAAGTGATCCTTTGTGTAAAAAAATGGATCCAAAAAATTTTGAAATACTAACATCAGATTCGAGTTCCTCGATCCTGATTACCCTTCGGTGAACCCTTAAAAAAAAATTTTTTTTTGCAGAAAATTGATCCTTTGTGTAAAAAATGGATCCAAAAAAATTTTGAAATACTAACATCAGATTCGGATTCCTGGGCCCCGATTACCCTTCGGTCAACCCTTAAAAACAATTTTTTTTTTACAAAAAAAGTAATCCTGTGTGTAAAAAAATGGATCCAAAAAAATTTCGAAAAATTAACATCAGATTTGACTTCCTCGATCCCGATTACCCTTCGGTGAAACCTTATAAAAAAAAATTTTTCGCAAACAAAGTGATCCTTTGTGAAAAAAAATGGATCCAAAAAAAATTTTGAAAAACTAACATCAGATTCGAGTTCCTCGACTCCGATTACCCTTCGGTTAAGTGTTTTAGAAAATATTAATAAAATGTTTTTTTGACCTTGTGCGGACACACAAGCAATCAATCAGACAATTTATGTTTGCAAGACTCTTCTCTACGAGAAAGAGAATAAAGAAATGCTTGTAGAAAAAAAATGAATTAACAGAAATTAAATGACCAATCGAATTTGAAAATCGTTGGAATTCTTCGTTTTTAATTGATTACCCACGATAAACAGTTATCCTTGTTTGGTATTGATTTTCAGCAAGTTGTTTTTGTAGATCACGTAAAACGAAACGATAAAGAAATAGAAGATCAATATTTTGAGTTCTCAATGAATAGTTTAGTAAGACATAGACAAATGATGTACTCGATTACAATTTCAAAGCGTTCTCTTTTCTATACGAATTACGAAAGTCTCGAACTTGTCTTAACTTTGTTTCTATACCGTCATAGGCTTTCGTGCAATAATCAATTAATTCATCTTTATCGGTCGCTTGAGGAGTCATACGAAGAAGAAGGTCAATCAAAAGTTGAGAGAAAAGATATGTACCATTTATATCTGTTGTTGGTGTACCGCCTACACCTTTTGATGTGTCAAAATAAGCAAAATCTTGGATCCAGTGTATGACGAAGCCATTCACAATGAACAGACTCAATCTTTGATATCAATTGTTTGAATCTACGGTTCTCACCTATAAAGAAAACTACGATTGACATTTACTCTTGAATGCATTGTTGATACCTCAGCAAGCTCTACAAATTTACATACTTTCTTATATTGTTTACTCCATTCGAGATCTGTTGAACCATTGAAAAGTATAAGAATTTTAATGAGCTGACTAAAATCATGAATTTCAAGAATAATGTCTTTACTGAGTACTTCGCTAACAATGAGTAGAATTTTTTCATTCAATTCAACACTTTTTATGTAATTTGGACAGCAGTATCATGATATATTTCTATCTTTTAGTTAAGAGATTTTAATTGTGTAAGTATATCATCAGTGGGTGGTATGTCATTGAGCCAGACGATATAAAATATTGACTGAATCTCATTATGTTCAGTTTTTCTAGTCTCTAGAAATGCTAAATTATTAATCATATTATTAAAATTTGCTCACGTTTGTTGCCCATTTAAGTTGTATTTTTTAAATAATAGTCTACAAATCGTAGATAATTTAGCAGTTTAAAAGTCTTGAGTTTTTTTTGACGCTAGAAGTAACAATTACTCAAAATTGTTCATTATTAACAGTCGTGTTGCAATGAAAAAATTTTTGGTGAACAATTAAATGCAATGTTATCGATCACGTAAATAAAAAATAGTAAAGTACTTTTCCACGGATTACTCATGGTTTTTTTTTTCTTCATTTTCTGTTACTGTCAACATGTCGTTTCTTTTCGGCGCAGTGTTAAAAAGAGAACAACATTGCTGTCAGCATCATTGTCGTGAATGTAAATATACTTCTAAGTAATTATAGAAATGCGAGCAGCAGCACAATATGCGAGATTTATTTTCATTCTTTAGAACTTGGATTATCTTTAATACATCGAAACACAGCTGTGTTCAATTTTCGAAAAGATCAATTAAGAAATCTGACTGTTCTCTTCTCAATCAAATATTGAAATAAAAAGGAGCATGCTTCAATTTATTACACTTTCTTTGAGATTTTTTGGGACTTAATTTTCTTCTATTCATTTCAACGATTGGCCGATGTTCTTTCAATTGAATCATTTATCCCTATAACAGAGTGTAGATTCTACGCCTACATTCTCACCCTCAATTTCTGTATTAAATAAGGAAGTAAGAAAATGAAAAACAATAAAATCATTCGATCGGTAATTTGATAGCGTTTATGATAATACTTCCAACATGCGATGAAAGTGGTGCGTGTGCCTGATTACGATTTTCAATCAATTTTCTGATGAAAATTAACGGATTGAATGAGAAACGGCATTGATGAAGTTGTAATTGTTGCCGATGATCTAAGTTTTCCACAAAGCCATCAATATTAATCCAACCATTATCAAAAGCATTGATTTCGATCTCGTTTCGAGGTTTCAAACATAGACCAAGAAATTTACAATAAGCATCTTGTTCTCGTTTATTTTCAAAGTAGATCGTTCCATTAAATGCAAATAATGCTACCAAAACTTCAATTGGAATCGAATAGTCAGGAATTTCAGGATCAGATGAAATCAACGGAGGAATCGTAAGAGTTCGTGTATTGAACAGTATCGATTGATCTCGTCTAGTACGTGGTAACAATAAACGTAATGTTGTTTGCATTAATTTATCAGATGGTGATTTATGGTAAAGATATTGAAGGCGATCCATCAGTTCATTAGCTTCGTAGGGACTTAGGAATATGATGTGTTGATTACGATAGATGAGTACCCAACGTGGAGGACGTAGAAATGGATCTAACGATTCTCCTTTCGTTTGTATGACCCGCTTGAATTCAGTAGTAACCCACAGATTTTCTTGCCAACAACCTGGTTGGCTTTCACGGTAGAATGTCGTACCTATGAAAGCATCGGCAATAGAACAAAACACATTAGGTAAGTGTGATAAGTTCAACATTGGACCTTGAGTTTCACATAGGTTCATAACTTCA